TCAAGTCGAATATATAATCTTGTGCTCTAAGCTTGTATTGTATTTGAATAAATTAGCAATGTTTTTTTTTTAGAAACAGAAATAATATCTGCTTCTGATAATCATATTGTATTTTCAATGCCGTTGCGTTTCGATTACTTAGGAGCTGAGAAGCGGCAATTATGACACAATATCACGTTATTGTTCTAAATTGCTTCAAGAATTATTAAAATATGTATAAGAAATGTATTGGCGTTTGAAGTTTGTAATTGACTTAAGATATTGAAGGTTATTCTCAGTCAAAATCAGTGGCGTACATAGCAACAAAACTATTATTTATAATTAATGACCCACCGGTGGGTCATGCCGTCGTCAATGTGTTAGTAAGGTTTTTATACAAGTATTTTTTTTCTTTCTTCCGCCTGCTATCTCCCTCTAGGAGCCTCTTCCATTTAGCTGCATTAGCTTCCATTAGACGCATTTGGACGCATTACGCCAATCGCAATCTGTATTATAGTGGCAAGTTTAGAGGATAGGTGGAGTTCGAATCGGGTTCCCAGCGATTCTGAAAAGATGTTGGGGGGACCGGAATGGATGTTAGTGATGATTGGCTGTTATTTTATAAGGAAGTATCCGTGGTCAATACAAAATTGGCTAAAGCCTTAAAAATTTCAGGACAATTTTCCGCCAAATGAGTGTCTATGGAAGTTGGCAACTGTATGTTCACAGAAGAGATGGTTGGAGATGGTGGACTGGTAGATGTCTTGTAGATGCTGCGTTGTTTGGACATCCAAACTGGACGTGGTTGACTGTTCCTGTCTCTCCACAGGAGCAGAGATCTGTGTTGGCCAGTCCAACTCTGTGAAGGTGGATTGGAGCGAGGGTGTGTCCAGCCTGCCAATTGATGACACTTGACACTTCTTGAAGATGCCCGCACCCACGAACCAAGGTTTCACACCGATCACTTTGTTCAACTGAGGGTAATACTTCCCTTTTGTTGCACAATCACTGTCAAACTTCCTTTGCCATTCTGCCAATGCCTATGATCAAAGAAGTCTGTGTGAGGGATCTTGATATCCAAGGGGTCGTCGATGGAGTGGCCTTCATTTGCGGCCTCGTCCGCCTGCTCATTTCATGTGATTCCCTGGTGACTCGGAACCCAGCAAAGTTCCACCCGAATTCCACCGGCTGCTAGTCTATACAGGGAGTAATCCTGCAGTATGAAAACCTTAAACAGGGTCAGCATTGTGATGGGATTGCAGCCCCAGTCTCTTCTTAAGACTTCCACGCCCTCCGTAAGGATGTCGTTGATGGCATGAATGTAAAGGTTAAATAGAAGAGGGCTTAATGGACTGCCCTGTGGTAGACCTATGTACGAACATCTGGATCTTTGGAAAGCTGGATCGACGAACCTCTCCAATCTAGTTTTCAGCATTACCTCCAGGCATTTTTTCACCGAGGATATCAGCGCAATCGGTCTGTAGCTGGCTGCCAGATCGGGGGCGGCTCCTTTCTTCAAAATAGGCACTATTTTAATTATAAACCATGCTGAAGGGAAAGAGCAGTTGTTGAAAGCTTCATTATACAGCATCAGGACTCTGCTTTCCCACTTCCGGAAGATTCCTCAGTATTGCCGCTGTTACCAGGTCTGTTCCCGGTGCTGAATCCTTGGCACGACTCAAAGCAGCAGTCAGCTCTCCGAAATCAAATGGGCTGGTCATCTCAGCATCAACGCTTGGAGAGGCGGACAGGAGAAAGTGTTCTGGAACTCGAGCAGAGTCGGGAGCTAATTTCCTGAGGAATTCCTCATGCCAATCCTTGTTCGCATCTCTGTTTAGAGGCGTTGTCTTCCTGTTGTGGTGATTGAACGCCCTCACTTTCTTCCAAACGTAAGAAATCGGAGAATCCCTGCTTAGTGTCTCACAAAAGGCTCTGAAGTGAGCTTCAACAATTTCTTTGTTTCAGCTCCCGGTGTTGTGAAACACTTTCAGTAGCCTTCTCCGTTTGGCAACAGCCATTGAACATTCGTCGTCCCACCAAGGGCAAGATGGAAGTTGCCTGGTTGCTGGATTGGATTTTGAATTGGCTTTGGCCGCCTCGACGACGACGGATGTCAGCGTGCCCAGATCCACATCTGGGTTGTTGTTGAACTCCTGCTCCAATTCAGCACTGTACTTCTCCCAGCGAATCCTTTTGGAGTTGATCCTAGTGGACGGTGAAGGCTGTGAGGAACGAATGACTTGTTGACTTTGCTGACGAGGAGGACTGAACTCGCATAGTATGGGCTAGTGGTCGCTACCGAAGGTGTCTTGCCAGGTGCTGGAGGTCAGATTAAGAGATGGAGGAAGCGATCGAGGACTTCACCAGGATCGAGACTCCGCCCTTACCATCTTCGCGTCTGTTGGGAACAGAGCATCTAACACCTAGACGTAGCCAGGTTTCATTTAATAAAACGACATCAATGTCGTTTGTGTCACATATTCTGTTTAAGTCTGATTGGTTGGAATGGATNTGTGCGAGTCAAGGCCTTTATGAGAGATTCAATTTCTGGTACTGAGTTCTTGTGAAACCGAGAGCGATCTTTTTTAATTCTATGAAGCAGGACTTCTAATAGAGCAATCGCTTCCTCATCGGAGTCAACAGCTTCATCTGCTGAGTCTGCTCGGATGTGCCTGGACGGGTGTTCATATACAGGAGGAGATGTTTTCTTTCAGAATAATTGTTTTGTCTCGACCTCGGAGATTTCATTGTGTGTAAATTGTTTGATTGATCTGTATTTTGTTGACTTGAGCGGTTATTTCTATGTGCCGGTACCGATTTGGTGTAATTTCTTTTACTTTGAGGGGGTGGGGCGGAAGTAACTTATGCATACGATCTTTTGGTAAAAACTGAAGGATTGTTAGTGCGTGGAACCTCTTGCTCCGCGTTTGTAGCTGAAAAATCTCTGATATTGATGTTTTGTCTTCTCGGGCTTACAGCCTCTCTCACTTCAAAAAAAGACCATTTATTCCGACCCATTAATTCTTTTATTGTCTTCTGCTTTCTATATTCTGGACACTCCCTGTCTTTGAGTCTCACGTTCTGCTCATTCGTCAGGTGGTCTCCACCGCAGTACTCGCAGGTTGGAAAGATCATATTGTGATCTCATGAAGTTCAATATAGACCTATAGATGTGGGGCTCTCTATTAATAGCAGGGTACAGATAGACGTTGGAAATTCCAATTTTTATATTGTAATCTCTCTCAAGAATAGAGTAGGGAAAATCAAAGAATATGTGGTTCATTGTTCATGGCCTACCACGAATTATTGCAAATCTGCGTTATTAAGAGAATGACTACAACGGGTGCTTATATGCCAGTTATATCAAATAAATCATATACGAAGGATACCAAAAATAATAAGCATGACAGAAAAGCATGGAAAGCCTATGAAAACTGATGTAAAGGTAAATGCATGACTATGCTTGATGCGTGTATCACAAAATCCGTTATGAGATCAAATATCAGATCAAATAAAAAATGCAATGCAAGTGGAATGTACCGATACGGCTAAAATAATAAAAAAGAAACCATGTAAAATTCGCTGTCATTTCTAATGTTAAATAAATAATCTCTACTGTATTTGCACATGCGTGAGGGTTTCCCGCCAATTCTATAGAGACAATTATGAGGAGTACTAAAACAGTAGTTATTTACTTCAGTTTCATGTTTGAAATATCATATTATTGTTTTAACAAGTATTTTATAAGTTAATATTAACCTTTGTTTAAGCAGGCAAATTGTTTTTATATTAATAAAATTTCTTATTTCATTAAATATAGTAATTTCAACATTTTGAGGACAGCTGGTTATTCTAGACAACAATAAATTTGGCGCGATTTTGTGGAGTTGGTTGGTTCGTCGCCATTCGTCAGGTTCCTCTTTTACATTGAGGTTTGTTCATACAGTTTTATTACTTAACGTGTAATTCATTTTACATAAATAAAATAGTACGAGCTATCATGGCCAATTCTCCGGCTGCGAAAAAGCACTTCGTTATTAAAAGAGGTAAATATATTTAAAAACATTACTTAATTTCTTTATTAATTATTTTTAAATATATTAAGATGGACGCCAAGAAGAAGTTTATTTGGATAAAATTACGTCCAGGCTGGTGAAGCTGTGCTATGGATTAAATACAGAATTTGTTGATCCTCTGACAATTACACTGAATGTTGTTAAAGGCTTATATGCTGGTGTGACAACAATCGAACTAGACACACTTGCTGCAGAGACTGCAGCTTGGTTGTCCCCAATACATCCAGATTATGGTATTTTGGCTGCTCGCATTGCAGTATCTAATTTACATAAGGAAACAAAAAAACAATTCAGTGGTATGTAGAATTATTAATTAACTCTTTATTTGAAATGTGCTAACTGTTGATATTTGCAGATGTCACAAGTGATTTGTTCCATGCTTTTGATATAGAAACAGACAGACAAACTAAATTAGTATCACAATTGCATTATGATATTGTAATGAAGAATGCAGATACTTTAAATTCATGTATAATATATGATCGGGATTTTTCATACAATTACTTTGGTTTCAAGACTTTGGAGAAGTCATATTTGTTGAAGATTAATAACAAGATTGTTGAGAGACCTCAGCACATGCTGATGAGAGTAGCTGTGGGTATACATGGAGAGGACATTAAGTCTGCAATTGAGACATACCATTATATGTCTGAAAAGTATTTTACCCATGCTAGTCCAACATTATTTTCTGCAGGCACTCCTAAGCCACAGTTGAGCTCATGTTTTTTATTGATGATGCCAGAAGATTCACTTGCTGGTATTTATAAATGCATTTCTGATTGTGCAATGATTTCAAAGTCTGCTGGTGGCATTGGAATTAATATTCATAATATTAGAGCAGCAGGAACACCAATTATTGGTACAGGCGGTAAATCTGATGGAATTGTGCCTATGTTGAAAGTGTTCAACCATACAGCGAGGTACGTAAACCAAGGTGGTAGACGACCTGGTGCTGTTGCAGTGTATTTAGAGCCTTGGCATGCTGACATTATGGAATTCTTGAATCTAAAAAAGAATACTGGAAATGAAGAGGAAAGAGCCAGAGATTTGTTTTATGCTTTGTGGATACCAGACTTATTTATGAAACGTGTAGACACTGATAGTGTCTGGTCACTGATGTGCCCTCATAAGTGTCCAGGATTATCGGAATGCTGGGGCGAAGAGTTCGAAAAGCTCTATGAAAAATACGAAGCTGAAGGTAAATATAACAAACAGATACCGGCTAGAGAAGTTTGGCGCGCAATTGTTATCTCGCAAATTGAGGTTGGTGTTCCTTATATGCTGTACAAGGATGCCTGCAACTCAAAGAGTAACCAAAAGAATTTGGGGACAATCAAGAGCTCGAATCTGTGCACAGAAATTATGGAATATACTGCGCCCGATGAAACTGCCGTCTGCAATTTGGCGTCCATTGCCGTTAATATGTTTGTAAAGCCAGATAAATCTTTCGACTTCATCAAATTAAAGGAACTTACCAAACTAGTTACTAGAAATCTGAACAAGATCATCGACATCAACTATTATCCTGTACCTGAAGCTAGAAACTCAAATATGAGACATCGTCCAATTGGTATTGGTATACAGGGATTGGCCGATGCTTTTATCTTGATGAGGATTCCGTTCGAAAGCGAAGAAGCACAAAAGGTTAATGTACAGATATTCGAGACTCTTTATTATGGAGCTTTAGAGTCCAGCTGTGAAATTGCTGAAAGAGATGGACCATACTCGACATACGAAGGATCTCCGGCCAGTAAGGGAATTCTACAATATGATATGTGGAATGTAACACCAACAGATTTATGGGATTGGGCTGCCTTAAAAGAAAAAATCGCCAAGCACGGAATCAGGAATTCTCTCCTTCTAGCTCCTATGCCAACGGCTAGTACTGCCCAAATTTTAGGAAATAATGAGTCCATCGAACCGTACACAAGTAATATTTACACTCGCAGAGTGCAAGCTGGAGAATTCCCAGTTATCAATCATCATTTATTAAAAGATCTGGTAGAACTAGGCCTGTGGGACGAGGTCATGAAGAACCAACTTATCGCCAACTATGGTTCCATCCAGAACATCCCCAGTATTCCAGATGATATCAAGAAACTATATAAAACTGTGTGGGAGATCTCGCAGAAGACTGTGATCAACATGTCCGCAGATCGTGGCGCATTTATTGATCAGAGTCAGAGCCTGAACATACACATAGCTAACCCATCGTACGTTGTTATGAACTCGGTGCATTTCCATGGGTGGAGGAAAGGATTAAAGACTGGTCTTTACTACTTACGCACGAAACCTGCCGCCATGCCCAATCAAATAACGGTTGATAAATCAAAATTATTTAAAGTGAAGGAAAGGGTTGAAGATAACGAAGCTGCTTTACTTTGTTCACTGCAAAATCCGGGCGCATGTGATATGTGCAGTGGTTGAACACACATACTTTTATATTTATCAATATTTTTAATTTTGTAATAGTTTTTTTTATGTTATTTTTTAGAATAAGATTTTTATAGTTGTTTGACATAACTACCATAATAAAACCAAATACAATACAACAATAACAAGTAATTTTGCTACTTATAATATTTCCTACTAATGTCAAATATTGCACCTGTTTTTTGAAAAACAAAAAAATGCATATTTTGTAAAGAATTAATTAAAATTTTGGGTACAAAAATTCCGATGCCAGTCGTAAAATCACATTTTTTTTAATGATCAGAACCGATTTTCCACGGCTACGATTTTTATTTTTTTTGCCTTTTACACTAAAAAAATATTGTTTGCTAATAAATAGTAGAACTTTCATACAAAATTTTCAATAAAAAACATGTCGGTAATTTACCTGTCAAACGGATTTTTTCTAAAAAAATTTACCGGTAAATAAAAATCACCTTAAATTTTATTTCGCAAAATACATGAACTATACCTTGTATACTCAAGAACAGTTTGCGTTTTCCGAAATAAAAATAATAAAATCTATTTTTTTTTTTTGCTTTCGCCTGCTACCTCCCTCTAGGAGGAGCCTCTTCCATTTAACTGCGTCCTTTCGACGCATTACGCCAATCGCAATATGTATTGTAGTGGAAAGTTTAGAGGATAGAATAAAATCTAAATAGGGCAATTGGTTCAGTGACGGACATCTTAATTCATGCTTGCGTTTGGTACACAGTAATTACGTGCCATCCTTTTTTTCAAATTTAAATCCTTTGTCAATTCAAGCAGTATTTTATCGTGGGTATTGATAATTTTATATTATTTTATTATCACAATTTTCTGCTATCAAGTTCATTATTTGGAAAATATTTGTCTAATTTTTGAAGATGACGTTAAATTAAATAGTTTGTATGTTCTTTATTAAATTTACAATTGTGGAAAACATTTTAGAATGGAGAAGATGTTCTCTATCTAATTAAAGTTTGCGTACAGTTCAATTGATAAAAACTATGATAGATCATCGTAACAGACTTTAAAATATTTAGATAATTTTAAAATAATCACAATTATATCTAATTTAGTTCAAAATTAAATTTGTTTAGTTGAAAATTATATTTAACGAATGTTTTTCATATCAAAGTTTATACACACATTTTTATATATATATATATATACTACAAAATATAAAATATATACAGTTAAACAGTAAATGTAAAGTTAATTTCAGGGAAACGAGATAGGACAAATATTTGCATTCAAATGAGTTGTGTAAAAATAGCTTTTAATTGCTTGTAAGACAAAGAGAGGAAAACGAAAAAGGTAAGGTCCTAATGGCATCGGCGAATTGCAAAACTGGTTCCCATGTGCATTCTTATTTACACAAGTATTCAATCTCCAAAATGTCTTTGTGCAGAACGTTAGGTTTCCTTGTGCTGCTCTTTGCGGTGTGCAAATCGCAAATCCACTTCAATGGTAAAACATAATCATAGTTGTATTTTCTCATGCTTATAAAGAAATTAATATCAACAGAAGAGAAAACTCCGTGCGATAGCACGTACAACAATCTACAATGCATCAACATAAATGAATGTCCAGAAGCTCTCATAGGAATACCGAAAGGAATATTTCCGAAACCCTGCGGATTCATCGAGAAAATACCCTTGGTATGCTGCAATTTTTAAGTAAACTGGATAGAAGACGTAAGTATATTTAAACCATAATTAGAAATATATTTTTAATGATCAAACAACATTACTACTCGATTTTTAGATGACGATTGCAGTATCCAATATTCGTAGGATTCGTTTTCAATAGTAATTGATTATAGAAATCTAAAGAAACAATATTTGTTAAATTGTATAATAAATATTTTAATTGAAATTTTATTAACATGTATTTATTTTGTAAAAAATATATAATTGTATGAAAAAATCCAAAGCCGCAACAAGACAATCTTGCGCATGTGGCCAAATATCTAATTTTTCCGGTTCAATAAATCAAAACAATACTATATATACTCTGCAGTAAACTTAGCTCTGGTGCCATGTCACTTAGTACGTAGTTGACGTCGTGAGCAGGGGGAGGGGTAGCTTGGGGGTTTGTGCGTGGTTTTGATTATATTGGTGCTGGTTATGGCTGGTGATTTCCAATATTAAACAAACTCCGATATCTGGAAAGCGCTTGACTCAGGTGGAATGTTGAATTATTATAAAAGAAGTAAATACTAAACAGTCGCAATCTCGATTAATCCGAACCATGGTAAATCGGCGTTTTACTTTACTTCCATTGCAAATATATTAAATGTGGAAATATTAAATGTTGTACTGATACATCAAATAATGTGAAAGAGTCGGTCGAGGTCTAAATTTGCATTTAATAAATATTAAATGGATATATGTATAACCAACCTTTTTGGCAATAAGTGGAATATGTTTTGGTCATAAGACAAAAAAAAGAAAATAAAATAAGAGTGGACCGGAACGATTTCCCATCGGAAGACTTCCAACAAACTCATATTTAACTATAAATTATTGTGATAACAAAACAACCCAAATAAAAATTAATTCTGACAACACCAAATAAAAAGATATTCACAGTAATTCACAAATAACACGAACTTTTAGTTTCTAAAGGGGAGGTCGAGGGTGTTGTGTCTCTTTAGTCTATGGGGGGTGAATATATATAGATACATAATTACATATATGTATATGCATGTGTTTATAATCTATTTTAATTTCAATAGTTAAGATAAATCCATTTTTTCTTTCTTTCGCCATTCATTTTACATGCTTACAAAATATTGTTTTCTTGTAACCCTTGAAAAATAGTATTATTAGATTTCCAAACTATGTTCTCAATAGTATCTAATCTATAATATTTTTCATTTTCATTAAATTCTCGGTATATAAAGCTGTAGCTTGTTGTGAATGTATCAACAAATACCATGATCAAGTTCGTGTTTTTGGTTGCTACTCTGGGGTGTGCCTTTGGTAAGAAGACTTATTTTAATTTCTTATTTTATTGCTAATTAATGAGATATAACATAATAAACAGCCGCCTCCGCCGATTTGGATTGGAGAATCGTCGGTGGTGAGAAAGCCGAAGATGGTGCTTTCCCATACCAGATCTCCTTGAGAAGCTATGGAAGCCACTCTTGCGGTGGATCCATCATCAACGAAAACTGGATTTTGACTGCTGCTCACTGCGTACAAGGTGCCTCCGCTTCCTCCATGTCTGTCGTCGTTGGATCTAATAAATTGAGCGCCGGTGGTGAATCTTACAAAGTTTCAAAGGCCATCTACCACGAGAACTACGATCAATTCCAGATCAAGAATGACATCGCCGTTTTGAAACTGGCCAGTCCAATCAAATTCAACGAGAAGGTTCAACCCATCAACTTGGCTGATAATAGCATCGGTGGTGGCGAAGATTGCGTGTTGAGCGGCTGGGGCAGAACTTCGTACCCAGGAAGCGCCCCCAACGACTTGCAATTCATTCACTTGAAGACTGTTTCCGTTGACGACTGCAAAGATCGTCAACGTCCAAACCCGGTGTACGACTCTCAGGTGTGCACATTCACCAAGAGGGGTGAGGGCGCCTGTCACGGTGACTCCGGTGGTCCATTGGTCTCTGGTGGCAAGCAAATTGGTATCGTCTCTTGGGGACGTCCATGCGCTGTCGGCTACCCAGATGTCTTTACCAGGGTTTACTCTTTCTTGGATTGGATCAACAAAAACATTTCTAACTAAATGAAATTACGTCAATAAATCTTTTTTTTTACTGCAATATTTTTGTTTTACTCAAATAGTACTTTTTCTAAACTGATTTATAACATCTGATAAAGATTTGTCGTAAATTATATTAGTTAATCAAGCCAAACTATCTAAAAATAGTTTCTACAATATAAAATAAATTAATATTTGTACATATTTTTATATAATAAATATCAACTAAAAACATTTGAAAAGTATCAGTGAATAATTTTATTTTTTAAATATAATTAAAAATTAAACATTTTCTATAACATTTAACTATATCAATAATAATAAAATAAAAATAGGACAGAAAAAATTGGTATCGTCTCTTGGAGACGTCCGTGAGCTATCGGCTACCCAGCGCTGGTTTTCTACCAGCGCCAACCACCAGCAGAGGCAAAGCATGCTCAACTTGGTGGTCCACTTGACTCAAATGCCAGTCACTTAGTCGGATAATTCCAATTCATTTGTCGATTTAGTTATTGCTAGTTGACATATCTATTGAATATGATAATATAATAGATTGTCTATACTCATCTGATCTGCAGAAAAAAAAACGTAGAGATCACATCGAAAAGACTCTGTTCATTTACACGTTTAATAACTAAATGTTCCACTTGATTACATTCCCATTCTTTTTATTAATTATACTATTGTTCTATATCAAAAATCTATCTTCTGATTTTTCAAATACAGTAAGTTTATGCAATTGGAATTCTATATTTATTTTCAGTTACTTTTCAGAACATTTAAAGTTTTATATCTGAATTATATCCATTCTAAAAATCAGTTAAATCTCAGTATAATACATTTTAAGAATGATACGAAAGGTCGTTGGTTGGATTCCCAAAAACCAACAAATTTGTGGTGGCTGTTAAACCCGAAAGGGGTAGAAATAGAAATTTATATCAATAAATAAATTGATATAAATCTCTTTATTTAAAAAAAATCTACATATTGCTTAGTAATATGTTGCAGAAAAAAAAAACTAGAAAGCATTGTATATAAAAAAATTTCATACATGCATTAGTAATAATAGGAATATATACAAATATTTATGAAAATTGTCAGCGCGTTAATAATCTTATTTGATTTTACAAAAATATTCTCACTTTCAAGTAGTCTGTTCGATTTACAGATCGATCAAGATTGATTTGTATATATCTTTATAATGTTATTATTATTGTGAGAATGCTGTTTTATTTATAGACTAAATTTAATAAACACGGAATACAGTCTGATACAGATATTTTTATCTAATCGAACCAAATTTATTTTGAGCATTTTTTGCGTATATAAGGAAGTTAGTCGTGCGGTATTTGTACAGAAACCAAAATGTTCAAACTTTTAGTTTTGGTAGCAACAGCATCTTGTACTTTCGGTAAGAATTTTCTACTAACTTATAAATAATTACTAAATATTCAGTTGTACATGACTAGCCGCTCCATCCTCCGACTTGAGTTGGAGAATTGTTGGTGGAAACAAAGCTCCGGATGGTAGTTTCCCATATCAAATTTCATTGCGTGGTCTATTCGATAGCCACAGCTGCGGCGGTTCCATTATCAACGAAAATTGGATCCTCACAGCCGCTCACTGCGTCGAAGGTTCTTTGGCTGCCACTCTCACCGTTGTCGTGGGCAGCAACAAACTGAATTCTGGTGGTGTTAAATATAAGATTTCCAAGGCAATCTACCACGAAAACTATGACGGCTATTTGATCAAGAATGATGTTGCTGTTCTTAAATTAGCCAAACCTCTCGAATTCAATAGCGATGTCCAACCAATCCCATTGGCTGACAGCGACATCGGTGGAGATGCCGACTGCGTCCTGAGTGGCTGGGGAACCACCTCTTACCCAGGAAACGTACCGAACGATTTGCAATACATAAATCTAAAAACATTAACCGTCGAAGACTGCCAACAACGCCAGGCACCCAACGAAGTTTTCGATTCTCAAGTATGCACTTTGACTCAAAAGGGCGAAGGAGCCTGCCACGGTGACTCCGGTGGTCCATTGGTCTCTGGAGGCAAACAAATAGGTATTGTGTCTTGGGGACGACCATGCGGCATTGGCTATCCAGATGTCTTCACAAGAGTGTCTTCCTTCCGCGAATGGATCAACAAGAATATTAACGAATAATTATTCATTGCAACAACCATATGATATGAAAATAAATTTCGTAATAGCAAATGAAAATACTTCTTAATTCTCCTTCTTTGTTCTATTATTCATCGCCAACATGTATATCCTCTGAGATTTAAATGACAAATGAATGAATTTATCTGGCATCAAAAAAAAATTACAAACCAATCAACTAAGCTTATAAAGACTTATTATTTGACTCAATTTGAATAATAATGACATAAATAAATATTTTCTCGTAAAATAATTACCAGATTAATCATTTAAAAATGTTATTTTTATGTTTCGTTTTTCATAATACTTATTGTATAAAAAACTCCTGATAATTATGCACCAACACAATTATTATACTATTTTAGACTATTATTTCAAAAAGAACAGCGCGAGGCGGGTGCAGCGCGTTCCCCGAAACCCACCCCACACTTTATAATTTTCATGGCGTATTAAAGATTTCGTTAAAAAGGGTAGAAAAAATTATAATACTTTGAAATCCTTTATAAAAATTATTTACAACAATTTATTTAGGAAGTGTATTTTCTGTATTATCTACAACATTAAGTAGAAAAGAATTTTCAAATAATTTAAAGAAGTCTTGTAACTAATAGAATAATTATTTTATTACTACTTAGATATATTATTTAAATTTGCTCTATTAACTTGAAATCTTGGTGTTGCTTCTCTGGTAACACATTGAAATATTTTTTGTAGAATTCAGTTCCCATTCGATGTCCATGACATCTATCCACCCAAGTATGAGACCACTTTGGATTAGCCTTCTCACAAGTAACAACTACTTTACCAGGCACCATGGCAAACAACGTTCCATTTCTTCCCATTCCCACCTAAAATATATGGAACATTCATATATAAAATACATTTTTATTTATATCTGTGAATAGTTCATTTACATTGAGTCCTGGATGAAAACGAAGTGTCCTTTGCAATACTAGAATAGTACCTTCAGTTACTTTATGTCCATCTTGCCTCTTCCAACCCCTATGCTTAGCTCTAGTTTTAGTACTTGTGTTTTTGGTACTTCCACCAGTCTTTTTGCTAGCATTACGATAAACACCTATAAAATTGATAATATAATTATTTGAATACGCTTTGGTTGAACACACCACCTACTTTCAAATATTTTTTGAGGATTTAATATTTGTTTGATACTGGATAAAATAAAATTCATGATTAAAATGTTATTATTTAATATTTTTTGGTTATAAATGAGGTTATGCAGGACAAGGGGGGTTCACGGGATACGGCAAAATTGTAATCTTTTTTTTTACGCACCTAGCGAGCAATTAATTAACCAACAACTGAAGGTCCCCTGTGCAGGACTGCGCACAGCCTTTCAAATATTACCGAAAGATGGCGCTGGACAAGCAGATTAAAAATAGTTATACAAATAAATATTATTAAGATTAGATTTTGTATTAAATAATGTTTTACAATGTGTAAACCACTTTATCATATCAATGAGGTAGTAAATATTTATTAAATGAAGATATGCATATGCTTGTCGTCATTCGTCAATGGTTCGTTGTAGTTCGTTGATTATCGTAAAAACTGTTTGACATATGGTGGTTAGTCACTGAAGTTGCTGAAGTGGTATATGTTGCTCATGTTCTTTATTTATAAAGTAATAGAATGGTTTGCGCATAGTTCTGTTAGTGCAGTGTATTTCACGTATGAAACTTTACATTATTAAGGCAAATTTAATTATAAAATAAAAGATATAATCGCACTGGTTTGAGTTTTTCTAGGTAAGTGAATGCTGGACGATTTAGTAACGATTTGGTAGCCATTTTGTGTTTTATAAATATTCAGGTATTGAGAGAAATGGATGAGAAATCCGCTGACGCGATTTCATCTGCAGCAAACACGATGCCTACAACAAATTCAGGTCCTCCACAAGCGGTCACAGCGGCTGCCCAACAGCAATGGTTATACAACTATCAGTCTATGTATTATCCAGGCATGTACCCCTATGGACAATACCAGTATCCATATCATTCCATGATGGGGTATTCACAGTTCCAACAGCCTTTTAAAATCAATGGACAGAATGATAGTGCCATGAAAAAGCTAGAAGATGCTGCAGAAAACAAACCCAATCCACCACTTCCTCCAGGTCCACCACCTCCAACACCAGCACCGCCACCTTTATTACAGACGCCAGGATTTTTCGCTCAACAGCAAAAGTTTGGAAACATTAGATTTAGCTTGAATGCAAGACCTTCTGCACCATCAATACCTCAGAATAATTCTCTGACCAGCGGCGCAGCTAAAAAGAAGCGGAAACGCAACAAGAATAATCAACAGCAGATTAAGATGCAAAACACTTTCAATAACTCAACAATGTTTTTCAATAGCCCGCCACTGCCGCCTCCGGAGCAAAAGCCGGCACCTCCACCTGAAATAATGCCCCCATTACCTCCGTTACCGCCACCCCCAGACACATCGAAACCACCTCCTCCATCTGTCGTCAATAATAATGCTGTTAATACCCCCAAGCCACCTATAAAGATACCGAATCCATACAACAATCCCACAGACGAATGGCCCAACGAATTGAAGGAATATATAGAGAGATGCTATGCCAAGTGCAAAACCAAACTTGACAGAGATCAGGTTGATATTGTACTTAAAGGTAAAATTACCTCGGCCACGGCAGCTGGCGAGCTGAACATAAGGGATTGGAAAAATGAACCCTTGCCTAGTATACAGAGCGAACGGAACAATTTAGTGCCCAAGATGGTACCGGGTCAATTGGCCCAATTTCAGAATCCCCCTAAGAAAGGACTTTCGGCGGCAATGGGAGCAAGATTGGGTGCTCGCGCGTCAACCCTCCGAGGTGGCAGTCGTTCTTCTTCTAGGTCTAGATCTAGGTCCCCTTACCATAGAAAATCACCGAGCAAGAGCCCGCGTCGAAGGAGATCTGACAGGTGTGATATAGAAGAAATTCTAATATGACAATCATATTACAATGCATTTTTTTATTTCAGTTCAACTAGTAACAGCAGTGAAAGTTACATTCCAATAACCAAGAGTGCAAAGAAGAACAAGCCAAAATTGTCTGAAAGATTAGGCAAGAATAAATTTGCAGGAAACAACAGCAAGCAACAGACAAAGAAACAAAAACAAAAAGACAAGAAGTCTAATTTCTACTCTGAATTCGGCGCTGTTGAGGAAAATACTCAGCTGTTGCAGCAGCGCGCAGCTCGATTCAATAATACCTCAAAATCTGCATCGAATGTTGCCGATACAGTGATTTCTAGTCCATTGAGGAAACATAGGGCTTCTTTTAAGTACGATGGTGCTCACGAGGACGCAAACGGCGACTTTGACTGGACTGAATTTCACATTGTCGGTACATGTAGGGATTTGGAAAAATCCTTCTTGCGCTTAACCAAAGCTCCAGAGGCGTGTGAAGTTCGTCCAGTTGAAGTCCTTGAGTGCTCGTTGCAGAATGTTAAAACGAAATGGATCCAGAAACGCGATTACTTTTACACTTGTGACCAACTCAAGTCCATACGACAAGATCTAACGGTAATAAATATTTTTAATACCTGTTTTAATTATATAATCAATGTGCATTTAGGTTCAAGGAGTTCGCAATGAATTTACAGTTGAAGTGTATGAAACACACGCTAGGATAGCTTTAGAGAAGGGCGATCACGAGGAGTTCAACCAATGTCAAACCCAACTGAAGATGTTATATTCAGAAGTTGGCGGAAGAAATTGCAACGAATTCATGGGCTATCGCATCCTCTATTACATATTTACAAAAAATACCCTTGGTATTTATTTTTGATATTTCTCAACGAACATTATTTTATCGAACTTATTTTTTGTTTAAAGATATTATGACTGTGATGAAGTCTCTGACGTCCTCCGAGAAAACGGATGAATGCATTTCATTCGCGATGAAGCTGCGCTCCGCTTGGGGTGGCGGAAACTTTCACAGATTCTTTAAACTATACGTTGTGGCTCCGAAAATGTCCGGTTTTCTCGTTGATTGGTTTATCGAACGCGAGAGGAAAGAATATTTGAAGTGCATTATAAAATGGTGAGTATATATAAATTGGGGCCCGAGGAGGCGCGGAATACTTTCCTTTTCAGCTTAACACCTAAGTGGGTATCAAAAACTCTTTAATTAGTGTCTATTTGTTTTCTTTGTTTTTATTTTTCCTTTGTTGGTATACGCTTTAATTTTAGAGAAAACTTGTTCGTAGTGGAAGCTATTGAATCTAGTACAATCAACTAAAAGTCAATTATTTTTATTTATTATTACTATAATAATTGTAACAAGTTTTCTGCTAGATTTGAGTCGTTTATTAAAATCTTCTTTTACTGTTTAGCTATCGGCAAAACATTTCGCTGAAATTTGTTTCGGATGAGTTGGCTTACAATTCCCAGGATGAGTGTTTATCGTTCCTTGAACCTTTCGGAATTCAATTCGCGGACAGTGCCAGGACGAATATTGACTGCAAGGCCAGCATGGTTGCATTGGCAAATTTATGAGTGATACTTGTTCAAATCCAGGCACTCCTTTTGATAATTTGCTGAAGCATTTTAATTTCATACAACACATGTCTTGTTGACTATGAACGTATTTATTGGAGCTCGGGAGGACGATAACTAAATCAAACCGTTTCGAGGGCCACTATTTATATGTATATATATTACATACATACAGGCAGTTATGTACATAGATAAGAGTTCTGATTGAGATATTCCCATGGAAACAACGAATGAGCTTGAACTATGTGCTTAACCAACCACATTTCACATTATTTCCTATCTCTTTGTTTCTGTCGTCTCCCTGTCTGAATCAAAAACTATGAAGTAATCGTAGTGCGGAGGAGGTTGTTGAGTCATCTATTCACAAAATCGTCTACTGCTACTAATAAGTGTCTTCATCACTAGGGACTATATAGTGATCAGTGCCCGGGAAAATTGTTGATGATTGTTGTTGGTTTTTAAACATATATTTTTTATTTCGCAAATGAAATCGTTTCATTTTCACATTGTAAATATCGAATTATTATTATTTTTTCAAAGAAATAAATATTAAAAATACTTTAATACAATGTTTTACTTATTTGTACCTTGCATAATCTTGTTAAATTACATATCTGGTATACAAACAATATTTGTACGAGACACGTTCTATTTTTTGGTGTGTATGTGCGCGAAAATAATGCTTAAACTATTCCAATAACAGCATTTGCAAATTATCCAATCCTGAAAAGCATAATTTTCAACATATTATCTCTTAAAGAATATATGTTAGTTGTAACATTTAAAGTGTTAGAAATTTTGAAAAAAAAATTATTTGGCGCTAATTACCAGCCTCGCCTCGCTAAAACTGGCCAAACATCATTTTTCGATGACTTGACCATGTACTATAAAATAAATTTATAATTAATTATATTTTTAAGTTTTATCATTTATTTATTTTTATTGGAATTTTAATCAATATTTTTTCCGATATCCTGTTCTACACGTTTGATTCTGTTCTCTTTTAGTACTATTTTGTGTTTGGTCTTGGAATACATTTTTTCATAAGCCTTGGTTCCCCCATATATGCAACCTTCTGAATTAGTTTCTTTCACTATAATACTGGATTGACAAGTATTTTCAATCTATTATATAATTAAATATTTAATTTTCAATTAATTATTTAAATAAACAAATGAAAAAAAATAAGTAATTATAATAATAACTATAATGTACGCAACGAATTACAATATTTAACTTGTTCAATGAAATGAAATAATTTAGGATAGGGTTAGTGATGAGTAATCTAATTTGTGTGAAATGTGTATTATAATTGTAGTATTTAAATAAAATAGATTGAAAGTTTTGAAGTGGTACATTTCGTAAATCCGTATGTGTGGTTGCATATTCAAGTTAAAATATTTAATTGAGGTTAGATGCGTGATGCGCAACGGTTTTTGTCCTTCATCATCATTCGTGTGCTCACAGTTTTTCTTCAAGTGTGTACCGGTTAATTTAAAATATATTTCTTCTGTTATATAAGTTGTTATCGTCATTGAATTCTGTAAGTGTGATAGTGTGTTCGGAAAATGTTTAATACGAAATTAGAAGTGGACCGGCACGTCGAAAACTGCCTACGGAAGATAAACACTGAGTTGGAGGTAAGATCACGCCTGCCTCTTCGCCATTGATATCCGATATATTTTTTTTCTTTTCACCTAACCTAGCATATACCCTCGATACATGGTCATAATAGTAATCTATCAATTAATTACATTGTAGTTGAATTACGTGCATTTGCGTAGTTATCCATTTATTTTTAGTACTATTGCTAAGGTCCAAAATATATCAACCAGTTTGGCGGGAATTCTATTTATAAATTACATATGTATTAGTTTTTCACAATCATGTTTTTGTTTACAGAGAAACCTAAGATGCTTTGCCTTTGCCAAGCTTTATTACAAGGTGGGCGATTACAACAGTGCTCAACGATACATAAGCAGTTACCTAAATGTGAAAAGCTCTTCTTCAGAAGGGCAACAATTGTTGGGAAAAATCCTTGAAAAGCTTGGTAAGAAGGTTGAAGCCCTTAATGCATATAAGACAAGTTTAGACATTGACCCAAAGCAGAATAGTTTAGTACTTAAAGGTAATGATCTTATATTTGTGATACCTAATTCATTTTAAATATTATTCTTTTACTATTTATTCTAGTTTGTGAATTGATGGCCAGTGATGATGTTAATTTGGATCAGACTGGTGCAAAGTACTTCTGTGAATTAGCACAGAGTTTTGACCCATATAACCCAGTACTGTTTCAATTAAAAGCCAGATTAGTAGCTCTAGAGAGTAAAGATCCCAATGAAGTTACACAGTTGCTATTAAAGGAGCTAGAGGCACGTCCCTTAGATGTTGACATTAGAGTGAGGCTGCTCAGGCATTTATTGCAACATAAGCAAATCAAAGAAGCTTACAATCATGCTTATGATATAGAGAAAAAATATTTATCAATATTCCTGAATAGTTTGAATTGGTATGAAACATTAGCTGAGGTTCTGGTATGTTACCAGAGGGAAAACTCTATTGGTAACACATTAACTTGGGAATACTGGATGCTCTTGATCTCCGTCCTTGATAAGTTGGTATCTCTTAGTTTAGACGAAAGGTCCATTTCTATAAAAAATAACACTGAATTTGTGACAGCCGTCTTAAATTTTGACCAGAACCTTCGAATAGCCGTCGATAAAATCAAGTCTTGTCCGGAGAAACAGTTGATAGCTGAATTCATAAACCACTACAGCGGTCAGTTATGCTTACATTTTATAACTTTGTTATTCAAATATGCGCGAAAGGATTTAATAAAATACAAGGAGGCTATGCAAATCAGTATGCCTTTGTTGTTTGCTGCCTACAGCTTTAAGCCATCAGACTTGGAGAGCATTTGGTTCCAACATGCGACAGAAGGTTACAAGCAACAAGTACAGAGGTGGCACAAAGAAGGAGCTTTTCGATGCTCCCAAGTTGGTCATATGATTATGTCCAGTGACAGAAGGAATTCTGTTTTGGAGCGTGCAAAACAAGGTGCGACGGGACTATGGCGCGAGCACGCATTCAAAAAGATTTTTGTAACAAGAGATCACCAATTAAAACTAAAAACAAGTTTTTTTACATGTTCTGAACAGTTTGTGGACTTTTCAATACAGCTACCAGATAACAATGAGTTATTGAAGTACGATAATGTTGCACAGCTGGTATTTCCTGGCTCACTGCACCACTACATCTGGATAGGACTGAACCAAGAGCTGGCCCAATTCAATTGTTCCGCTTTCAATGGATTGAACTACTCTGTTAAGAATTTGAACAATTGCGCGGCGGAATCTCTGAATGTCTTGGACATACAATCTTTTATATACTGCTCAGTTCTTTGCGCGCAGGCACAGATTGAAGAAAATAAGCATACGATTTACTATAATATGGAGAAGCCCAATGTGTTACCGGTATCAGTAATGAGTATGCTTGGGACTGCTAATCAGGACAAGTGGTTGAAGTGCGCTTACAAGATGTTCTCAACCAATCAGTACAATTCCGATTTGGGTGATGTTCGGTTGACATTGATTCGTGGGATAGAAGTTGTTCGGTGTATTGGAAATCACGGATTGGATGTCAAACTATTGATTTGCTTGGCAAAGATTTTCGAAGAACGAGCCCAGAAGTTGTCCAAACAATCTGAAATAGAGTTTAATGATGCGCGTGCAGAATTATATTGGAAAGCGGCATTACCGCTTTTGGAAAAATTGAAGCGGAATCAAGCGGTCTCGTATTCTACAAACAGACTGTTCGAATATAAGATCAAAGAATTGACTCAAACTGAAATACCGTTGAATATTGAAGCTGCAAAACTATTTATGGCAACTCAACTGATGAAGCGTAAAGACTACGAAAAAGCACTGCAGATATTTGAAACTTTAAAAGACCCGTACGCTAGTTTCCACCAGAGTCAGATTTACAAGTCGTTGGCTGAGAAGGAAACAAATCTTAACAAAGAAAACGTTACGTCTGAGATGCGCAGTCAACAGATTATTTTGTTAACAAAAGCACGCGATTATTTGTATTTGACTTTGGATAGGTTACGTAATCCGAACATAAATAAAAAGCATCCTCTCAATAGTAAGTTGGGAACAGAAATCGAGAAGATTGAACGTCTGCTCTCCCGAATTGATCCAGACACCTGTCTTAATAGAAATGATGAGTGCGATGAAATGTCCGATGAGAATGTGTCGTCATACGGCAGTGAACAGCACTACAATCATAGCTATACAAACGGAATGTTCATTCCTCGTCACGACAACACCAACATGCACTCTACTCCATTTAGGGACAATACCAGAAGAGAAGCTCGACCCAGCCCTGAACGTCTTGACGCCCAGCTAAGACAGTTAGCCGCTTCTAAAGATGCTGCTATAAATCACATACTGGATCAGAATAAGATCATGGTCGAATCACAGAAGAATTTAGTCGACGAGCTAAAATCATTTCGTGAGGCAGTGTCTGCCTTGACGATTACCGTAAACGACTTGAAACATATTAGAAGCAGCGCCGAGGACATCAAACATATAAAAGTATCTGTCAATGAATTAAAGGCATCTGTTGATGAGTTGCAGAACTTCAAGAGCGTCACCGATTTGGTGTATGAGATGCGCAAAGAGATATCTGAACTGAAGAAGGATACAAATAAAATTAAGTCTAATCAGTTGAGCGACGAGGATCTGTACGTGCTAGATGAGGAGTACAGAACCGAATATGGCAGCACGAGCACGAATGTTTCGAGCCTTGCATCGTCAATTTATCCAAACTTGGGAAGAATGGCTCCACCAAATTCTTCTTGCCCCAACCCGACAATGTCTTACAGCAATACAGGTTATTATCCACCAATGTACTCCATGTACCCATATAATTGCGGCCTTCCACAAGCCGGTAAGTGCAAATTTTGAAGTTTTGTTATGGAGCGTATTATAATTTGATTGTTGTTACAGGCGCATTGCCATTCGGCGCTGAGTCCCAATTATCCCCTGACATGAGGGCGGTTGCTATGAATGTAGCCCAATCTGGAATGAATCCTGCCGTTGTGGCAGCCGCGGCCGCTGCTTATCAGCATGCACCATTGCATTCGCAGGCCGCAGCTCCACCAATAACATTCCCTCCAACGCCTTTACAGCAACTGCACAATCAAGTGCTGCCACAAATCTTCAAGGAAACTCCCATTAATCCACCTGTCACCAACACGAGTGCAGCAAACAAAGCAGCTCCGGTTAATGTCGTCATAACTTCCTCGGATCCTTTACCAACTATCAAAACGTCGAGTCCTCAGATATTTTCGGTAACTATTCCACCACAGCATCTAAAAGGAAATCAACAGAAGGCCCACAATTACCAAATTCAATTGCCCGCCTCGACAACTACTATTGCTACAACGCCATCAATACTGAGCCAATCGCCTATGCCGGTCTCCACGCAATCATTACTTTCGAATGTGGCTCCTCCAGTTTTCTCAGCTCTTCCAGACAAGTCACCTAACAAGAACGCAAGTCTAGGATTCCAAATAGAGAAAAGTTTGGCACTCAGCTTTAACAAGTCTGCAAATGATACCATTCTGAATCGTAGCAATGTTTCCACCTCATCGCAGGAAGAACATGATCCGTGTCCCGATTTCAAACCGATAATTCCATTGCCCGACGAAGTACCAGTGAATACAGGCGAAGAGAATGAGGAAGTGCTATTCCGCGAACGTGGAAAACTCTTCAGATATGTAGAGAAAGAATGGAAGGAGCGTGGCGTCGGCGAATTGAAGTTGCTGAAAAATCCGGAAAGTGGCAAGATTAGATTTTTGATGAGACGCGATCAAGTTCATAAAATATGTGCCAATCATTATTTGACGGAGGACATGACTATCAAACAAATGAGCAAGAATGAGCAGGCCTACATTTGGGCTGCAAATGATTTCTCTGAAGGAGAAATTGTTCTCGAGAAATTCTGTGTCCAATTCAAGACACCTGAATTAGCTAAAAACTTTTTTAAGGAATTCGAAAATGCTAAGCAGTTAATTGCAAAGAAGGTGGAAAATAAACCTGCAGATTTGGGTGGATTTAAGTTCACTTCAACGCCTGCATTCAAGCCTAATAAAGAGAATCCTGTGGTGACAAGTACCGTTTCGCAAGCTGATGACAAAAAAACAGCTAGCCCCTTTGCGGCGTTTTCATTCACAAAAGACAAGCCAACAGATTCAATGAAGACTTTCAAATTTGAAAGCAACAAAAGTAAATTTACTTTCACTAAAGAAACACCAACCAAACAAGATAAGAGCGTCACAGATAGTCCGATGTTTTCAGTATCGTTGGTTAAGAACGTTCAGAATGAAACCAAATTAATTAAAGAAAATGCCAATACCTCTTCTATATTTGGTAACACTTCCAGTACATTTACTCCTGTAAAGCAAATGGATCAACAACCTGCAGACAATGATGAAGGCAGCGCTGAAGATTTTGTGCCAACTGTCGAATTCCAGCCGGTCATTCCGCTACCCGATTTAGTCGAAGTAAAAACTGGGGAGGAAGATGCTGACGTTTTATTCGAATCTAAAGCCAAATTACTGCGGTTTGATTCTGACACTAAAGAATGGAAGGAACGAGGTGTTGGACAAATGAAGATCTTGAAAGAAAAAACGATTCGCCTAGTGATGCGACGCGAACAAGTGCACAAAGTTTGTTGTAATCATCAATTGCTGAAGGACATGGAATTTAAAACTATGAAGGGAAGTTCCAAGGCGGTCAGCTGGTGTGCCAACGATTTCTCCGAGGGCGTTTTCAATATTGAAATGCTGGCAATACGTTTCAAAACCGAAGACATAACTACTAGGTTCTTGTCAGTATTGAATGAGGCAAAGGAAATGTTGGACGACAGCAACGGAGTCAGACTAACGGATGATGATAAAGCTGGCAAAGCAGCCAAGCAATCAGAGGAGAAAGTTAAAACTACAGGATTTGGCGATAAGTTCAAACCCAAAACTGGCACTTGGGAGTGCAAAAATTGCTACATTGTGAATGAGCAGAAGATCAATCATTGCATGGCATGTGAGACACCCAAGAATGATACTGTATCTAAAAAACAAACCGATAGCAGTCAGTTCTGTTTCGGTATCGGTGCCAATACTACTGGATTTGGCGACGCATTTAAACCGAAAACCGGCAGCTGGGAATGCAAATCTTGTTATACCAGGAACGATTCTACGAAAACGAAATGCGCGTCATGTGAAATACCAAAGGAAGGACCATCAGACTCTGGTAACACGGGCAGTACTTTCAAGTCTGCTGTCGATCTGAGCACGGGTGGATTAAGTTTCAGTTTCGGTATGCCATCGGCCACACAACAGACAGTAGCAAAACCATTGGTGACCAAAGGCTTCGGTGATGCATTTAAACCTAAGGCGGGCAGCTGGGAATGTAAGGAGTGCTACACCATATCTGAGGGCAACTATTGTCTCTCGTGCGAGTGTCCAAAGGACGACACAATACCAGCTAAGGAGAAAACCACGAAGAGCGTAAGTTTGGATACTGGCGGACTTAAATTCAATTTTGGTATCCAACCAACTGAAGCAACAACAACGGGTACGACTACTGATCCTCTCTTGGATAACAACAAAGGATTCCAATTTAAAGTATCTACTTCAAATACGAAGCAGGCAAACACCACAGAAGAAATTGTATTTGGATCGCCGCATAAGGCAGGATTCGATTTTACACCACGATCGCCGCGTCGTCAAAGCTCCGGTCCTGGCCAAGAAGAAGAATCAGAAAATAGTTACTACGAGGATGAAGAAGATAATATATATTTTAAACCGGTAATTCCCCTGCCAGATAAAGTGGAAGTTACCACTGGAGAGGAAGCAGAAGATGTCTTGTATTGCCACAGGGCAAAATTGTTCAGACATGTTGACCATGAATGGAAAGAACGAGGAATTGGAGATTTAAAGATATTGTATAACGCCAAGGAAAATAAATTAAGGTATTTTTTCTTTTAATCTATTAAATCTACAATATTGCATTACATTGAAAACTAAAGCAACGTAGGTTGTCATTTATTTATTTGACATCAATTCATATTTTATTTTGATGTTTCTTTTATATTTTTTAATTGTGTCGATTTTTGTGCTCTCAGTTTTGATGAATTTCTTATTGTACATGAGTCTTATTTCAGAGTTTTGATGCGTCGCGAGCAGATACATAAGATTTGCTTGAATCACATCCTTACTGATAGCATCGCATATACCTCAAAGGACGACAAAACATGGTTATTTAGTGTCGCCGATTATTCAGAAGGCTCATATGAGTACCAGAATTTCTGTTTGCGTTTCAAGACCGCAGAAATCGCGAAGCAGTTCAAACAAGCTGTGGATGAGGCTCTGAAGAAGTCGTCTCACGGTAAGATTTTGCTAAATGTTGATATGAATACGTTTGTGATAGGTGGTTGCATCGCAGTCGGTGCAATCGCCGCTATTGCTATTCTGTACCGCAGAAGCTAGTCTATAGATTAATGAATAGAGAATAGTTGGGGGAGGAAAATAATTTCTATCTCACAGTATTATTTTTCAATAAAAACGGTGTAAGACAATCCAATTTCGTTTATTTTTTTCCCCACGCTTTTCTTTTATTTTATTTTTATTTTTCGTTTTCTTTTATCTCTTTTAGGGGATGAAGATGAAGCAGATGATGAAGTTGAGTTTGTGTGCGAGACTTCGGTTACAGCTGAAGAAGAGGCGGAGGCGCTGAAACTCGGGCTACCGCCCAAATTCATGTCCTACAGACAATTACCAGACTGCGAATGTTCGCAATGCAAGGAAGATGACGATATTTTTAATACCACCCCCTTGAAAGACAAGAATACAACAGAATTCAGCACACCGAACTCAACCTATTTTGGAACCCCATCTGGAGACAACAACAGCTTTACGACAATTGCCAAGCCAGAAAAACAAGGATCAACTTTGAAAGATTTACTCTCCAAGCCAACTATTTTTGGAAGCAGTGTATTTGCTGCTAAGACCAATGTAACCACTTCAACTAGTTCCGGCATGTTTGGTGTTTCTGATGAGAATATCAAGTCGTCACCAGCTAAAGTCTTTGGAGGCTTTAGCATGAACACAACCACTGCACCATCATCTAATGTTTTTGGAACAACCACAGGAAATATGTTCAGTTCGACTAAAACAGGATCCACAACTATTTTCAGCGGTAGTCCAGCTACAACATTAACAAATGTATTCGGCACCGGTTCTGTAGAGAAAACAACGTCCACTGTCTTCGGGGCAACTACTACCACGGGCAACATTTTTGGAGGTAGCGCTATTTTTGGATCCGCTGCTCCACCTCCAACAACGTTCAGTGGTGAAAAGGTTTTTGGTAATATTGCACAATCAACAACTGCAAAGAATGTAATTGGCAATGGAACGGCTCCGACTAGCGGAATCACATTTGGAACGCCTACTACTTCGACTATGACAGGAAACCTTTTTGGAACACCCTCCACAGCCACTGGAAGCATATTTGGAGGCAGTACCAATAATGTCTTTGGCGATAAAAATACAAGTACCCCGATCACCACTGCTACCGGAAGCATCTTTGGTGGTTTTGGTTCGACGTCAGCACCTCCAACTACGACAAATGTATTTGGCACTCCGTCATCTACATCAACTGCGTCTGTCTTTGGTAGTAGTGCAGTTTTTAATACGAGTACCTCCGTTTTTGGAACACCTCCGCAGACGACTGCCTCCTTCAGCGGCAATATTTTCGAAACAAATACAGCTTCTCCAGCCACTAAAAGTATCTTCGCCGGTGATAACAGTACTAAACTAAGTTTTACATCAATCATCAATGAAGCTCCAAGCGCTGCTCCAAAAACAGAGCTGTTATTCTCTACAATGATTGGCGATAAGAATACAGCTGCTTTTGTTACATCTGGCAGTAAGCATAAATAGTATATATAATATTTAGTAGGAAATCTAATATATTGCTCTTTCAGATGTGGAAAACCCTTTCGCAAGTATCGGCGCCGGAACTCAAGTTTTCGCGTCGCAGAAGAAGCCGCCGACTCAGAACAAAAATGTAGCGGAAGAAACAAATGATGATGAAGGCGCAGAAGGAGAGGAGTATGATCCCTACTATGCGCCAATTGTACCGTTACCAGACGCAATCGTAGTTACCACGGGCGAAGAAAATGAAGAAGTTCTCTTTACACACAAAGGCAAATTATATCGATTCGATAATAAAGAGTGGAAAGAGAGAGGAGTGGGTGATGTCAAAGTACTACATAACCCAGAGACACGTAATATTATATAAATCTCCACAAAATGGCCATTGGCAATAATATTATTTATATTATAGGTACTTATCGATTATTGTTGAGGCGTGAAGTTGTTCACAAAATCGTTTTGAATCAGCGGATTACTTCCAACTTAGATATGCAGCTGTTCAGCAAATCTGCAAATACGTGGATGTGGGCCGGTTATAATTTCTGCGACAATGAAATGCTATCAGAGAAGCTAGCAGTGAGGTTTAAAGACGAAAAGACATGCACTCGATTTTACGAAACAGTCCAAAAGGCTATAGAGGAAGTGAGAAAAGTCGAAAGCAATGCTTCGGACTTCCCAACTACTATCGAAAATATAAGCGAAGTAGACAATGACGAGGTGGATGAAGAGGAGGCGGAGGATGAAGAAGAAGTGGATGAGGAAGAAGATGAGGAGGATGGCCGGTAAGAAAGTAAAATGGCATTAAGTTGTTCTTTAAATATTATTTTGTTTATAATTTTGTTAGTTTGTATCATTTATTTTTCTAAATAAATTAAGTATACGTATTATAAGTATTTTTTTTCTCCGTGGCATATTTCTAGAAGAGTGTTGTTCGCAAAGGAGTGCGCTCTGAGTGAGAAACTTCCATCTGGAGAATGGGTCGAGTTATCTTCTGTGGTTCATCTAGAAATAATTTATGACCCAGAAAGATGGATTTCCAGGATTATAGCAGTTGATGATACCGGATGCATTCACACCAATAGTGTTATTAAATATACTGAGAGCTCAATGAGAATGGAACCTGACGTAAGTACAACCATACATTATGGTATACAGGGGGATGATGTAATTTAAATTTTGTTGTTACATGCAGGAAAACGGTGTGATATGCAATTGGACAAGCCTGGATTCTGACGGCGAGAATATGATCAAGAGAAATCTGAGGGCCACCTTTGATTCAAATGATAGTGCTACAGATTGTTATTGCGCTTTTGAGGAGACTTTCTCTTACGTCCACGAAGAATAAGTTTAATTATATTAAATATCCATTACATTCATTTATTACACTTTATTTAAGATTCAAGTTATTTCGTCACATATAACTGCCCTCATCACTCAGCCTCGTAGATAGTACCTACATGATAAATTGCATTATTATGTTGAGATTATTTGCATTTTATTCATATAATAAATAAATATTTAACTTTATTCCAAAAAAGAACAAATCAGTATTGACTATTATCTTCCATTTTGTTAATAACTTATTTGTAAATCAATACAATAATTATGTTTTTTTAATATACTAAAAATAGAAAAAAATACCATATATATACTTACATAATTAAGGTTAAACAATTTTTAAATTATTAACTGTAAGTTTATAGTTCTGATGAATTGTTTACATGCTACTTAAAATTTTAAAGGTACAATTTGCAAAATGAAACTCTTAAAATGTTAATTTGAAAAAATAAATGAAAATGTAATTATTTATAAATAAATTGATGTTATTAATTAATAATTGCAGTAATATAAAATTATATGAATTATTTATAATTTAAATATTTATATTGACAAAATAGGAGGAATTAATGTATAGAAAATAAGCTGTAGATAGTATATAATTTTATTAATTAAAATATGTTTAGTTGTTATAAAATGTAAAAATAATATATTAAACAGAATTACTAATCATCAACTTCCTCTCTCTTTCGTTTCATATCCATGTTGTTGCTGCTATTTGTAATACCATTGCTGCTTGCATTCTGCAATGTCTGTGTAATTTGAATTTTTGGCTTGAGAACAGTTTTCTGTGGCTGCAAATTTGGATTGGATATCTTTGTCACTGGTTTTGGAATGGAAACAGTCTGTTTCTGGATTCCGAAATTGTTTGTGCGTTTGATAATATTTACAGTAGGTTTGCTACTATTAAACGAGTTCTTTACAGGCTTCTTCTGCACCCCCTTCAAAACGTAATTTGCAGATGATAGACAATGACGATCTGGCGGTAGTCGTAGACCGCACGGTGGTTTGATCAATGGCAATGGATTGTTGTTTTTATTCCTAGCACATTCCAGTAGAACCTCTCTTGGTGGTGGCATTGTAAATGTACTTTCACTTTGCAATTGGAGGGCCAACCTAACATCATCTAAATCTAGCAATCTCTTTTTTGAATTATTTGCAAAAACCCTGGCTTCTTCCAAAATGGTTGAACCATATCGATATACAAACTCTGTGAGCTGAACTATGGTTTTTGGTTCATATTCAGTAACACCCATCTCTTTTAATATGGCAATTATTACTTGTCCATCCTTGGGCATATTTTTTGCCGGCGCGGGCTTTGGTTTCTCCTTCTCGGCCATATTCACCAAAAAATTAAGCAACAATAGAATTCACTAAAATTATAAACAATTAAATATTGTAGATGACACTTTCTAACCTTACTTACTAAAAATCAAAAATTATGTCAATTTTAAAGGAAAATACCAAACCAAACATGAACCAAACATAAATACCAATAATACCAACATTATAATCGTATAATTACGAAAATGTTAAATGAATTAGTAAATTATAGGAATAATATAGTTTCTTTTTTACATATAGAAATTAGATATTTTCTAAAGTTTGTAAATAGAGATTTTTTTTAATAGAAAATAAATAAGAAACAAGAGTAAAGTTTAAATCATTGCCAACATATTTCACAGGAATAAAAAACCCTAATACTGTCTTTTCTCTTTGTTGACTTTTGTTCTGCATTTTCGTCTACAGGAGTTCTAATGTTTAAAAAAGAGTTATGTTTAATAATTGATTGAACATATTTTTTTTAATTATTGATAATGTTATGATATACATTTCAATTTCTATGTTGCAATGGGTGGTTATGTGAGACTCAACAGGATTTTCAGTTCAATACTAAGTATAATGCTTAAGATATGGGCCTATTCAGGCTTAGCTTTATTTGCTTGTTTCCTGTTCTACTACATGTATGGAGGCTTTATGGCTTTCCTACTGCTAATTTTTGCAGCTACTGGTATGTATTATATTGTTCAGAATTCAGGACTATTTGTAAGTCAGTATTTTTAGGTATATTATATCATGCTGAGGACAATTTCCTCTTCTATCCAGAACTGCCAAGTCACTCCAGAGTGTTTATTCCTGTGCCGTCAATGTATAATTTGCCTTATGAAGCAGTGCAGACCAAAAGTTCTGATGGGACTTTGTTACATATGTATTTTATTCATCAGCCTGCTGAGAGACAAAGACACTCACCAACAATAGTGTTTTTACATGGAAATGCTGGAAATATGGGACACAGATTGCAGAATTGCGTTGGCTTGTACCATAATTTACATTGCAATATATTATTAGTTGAATACAGGGGTTATGGCTTATCAGAGGGTCAACCAAGTGAGGATGGATTGTATATGGATGCTAGAGCAAGCATTGACTATTTATATTCTAGAAGTGATATAAACCATTCAGAAATTATTGTCTTTGGAAGGTCATTGGGTATATAATGGTAGTAAATTTAATTAATATGTTCTCATTCAGGTGTTTTTATTTGATAGGTGGAGCAGTTGCTATAGACTTGGCCAGTAGGGCTGAATATTCAGATAGAATCTGGTGTTTGGTTGTTGAAAATACTTTCACAAGCATACCTGACATGGCTAAGGTCCTCCTGCAGTGGAGACTTCTCAATTATCTGCCACTAATGTGTTACAAAAATAAGGTTTGACAATAACAATTTGAGTGTACATGGACATTTATTTTTAACAATATTTCAGTTTCTCTCTCTGTACAAGGTGCTTCATCTGAGAGTGCCTACGTTGTTCATATCAGGCTTAGCCGACACTTTAGTACCACCTAAGATGATGTCAGATTTGCACAGTCGCTGTGGAAGTATTCGTAAGCAATTGCTGCAACTTCAAGCTGGCACACACAATGAGACGTGGACATTGCAAGGCTACTATCATTCACTGGCCGTATTCTTGCAAAACTGCAGATTACAAAAAATGGATAGAACGCAACTGCAAAGCAATGTTAACGGTATTCATTTCCAGTCGCCCGGCGGTTCATGGGGAAACATCCAAAATATCTAATTTATTTCAGTTTTACTTTATAAGTGTATTATTGTTATTGTATATATGTTTTAGTGCCATTTTATATAATGGATACGTCCAATTGCATATAACGTATTTAGTGAGATATCTATAATTGATTGTGTAGTATGAAAAACGTGTCGAGTATTTTTTAAATCATCCAGTCAATATCAAAACCAAAGGTTCATTTGCACATACATTGATTTATGAATGTATAAATGAATAATATTATTTTATTCTTAAAATCTATAGCCTGTACATATATTTAATTTTCATAAATAAAATTATAAATTCTATAAACGCCCATCTTTTTCAGCCACTGAAATCGTTATTCGCTAAGTATGTATTTTTACTCAAGCGTATATATTAAAAATTGGTTGTGATCAAAATACCGTTGCAAATCTTGTCTAAGTCTAAGAATTAATTAGCTAGATAGTTTTAATTTATCGTAGGTATAAAACACAGGTTTTACTCTAAACAATAGAATATTGATGTTATTTTTTTTTTAATAGCGTAGTAAGCAGTAAGTAGCAACGATCATTTTTTAAATTCATTTATTTTACGTCCATATCAAATAATAAAAGAAATTGCCGGAAATTCTATTTAGACCCTATAAAGAAGAAACTGAAAAATCCTAAGTTGATTTCTTTACGTCTTAGGGTCCGAAATATACGATAATTTAGATAGGTTCAAATAAATTAAATTTATTTGAAGGGAAATGTTCTGTTCTGATTCCTCCACTCTATAATAGAGTGGAGGTGTGCACTTAGCTCACACCTCACAGTGTATGTAGCCAGTCAATGTCTATTACAAACTAAAAGAGTATATAAACAAGCAAAAAATAAAACAATAAAAAGATGAATAGACTATTAAAGACAATTACACAGAATCACCCTGCTAATGTATAAGGGAAATGTTCCTGTACTAATTTTATAACTATTATTATATGCAACTCATATCACATATTTATACTCCAATTAATATTTTTAATTTATAATATATAACAATAACTAACTTATAACAAATAATATTTATTCATAACGAACATATTCATTATAAAAAAAAGTTATTATTAATTCACGCCACTATACAATGGCATGTGCTGTGCAGTCGTCTTATACACTTTGCGTTTTTTAAGAGGTTAGGAAGGGATAGAGCCAACTGGCACGTCACGTAAGTGATTGCGGAAGTAAAAGTACTCAAATTGGATTCTATTAGATATTCATTTCATCCGGTGTCCTAAACTAGTTCGCGACGATGAGTGATGACAATAATCAAGTTTTGAATGGGACCGGCGAAGAAGGTCCACAGAAGACTGCAAAACAGCTGGAAAAGGAAGCGAAGAAACAGGCAAAGTTGGACAAATTAAAGCAAAAATTAGAAAAGAAGAATGCAGCCCCCGTTAAAGCCCCAACAGAGGTAAGCTTGATGAACCAACAACCATATGGTAACTATATAACCCTCATATACTATATAATCAGAAAAAGGAGAAGAAGAAGGAAGTGAAGGAGGCTGCTATTTATGAAGAAGACACCCCTGAAGGTGACAAGAAAATTGTCTCTAATGCCATGCCAGATGCTTACAGTCCAAAATATGTAGAAGCAGCTTGGTACAGTTGGTGGGAAAAGCAGGGCTTTTTTAAACCAGAATATGGAGTGAGTCATAATAATTTGATCCACTTTTCAATAATCTTGCATCATTTTTTTTTTCTTAAACCTTAAATGTATATATTTAGAGATCTTCCATTGTTGAGAAAAACCCTAAAGGCAATTTCACAATTATCATTCCACCACCAAATGTAACTGGTTCCTTACATCTTGGACATGCTTTGACCAATGCCATTCAGGATTCCCTTATTCGTTGGAACCGCATGAAGGGTAAAACTACTCTTTGGAACCCAGGATGTGATCATGCTGGTATTGCCACTCAGGTAGTGGTTGAAAAGAAATTATGGAGAGAAGAGAAGAAAACTAGGCATGATGTTGGTAGAGAAGATTTTGTAAAGAAGATTTGGAATTGGAAAGAAGAGTATGTTGATTGTAATTGAAAATATAATTTTATTTACTATTTCAACTTTACAGGAAGGGTGACAGAATTTATTTGCAACTAAAAAAATTAGGGTCTTCTTATGATTGGACCAGGGCAGCATTTACAATGGATCCTAAATTGTGCAGAACTGTGAATGAAGCTTTTGTTCGATTACATGAAGAGGGAATCATTTACAGGTTTAATAGGCTTGTGAATTGGTCATGCACTTTAAAATCTGCAATTTCTGATATTGAAGTAAATCTAAACTGAATTATTTTATTTTTACTATTTTTTTATTAATTCTTTTAGGTTGATAAAATTGAAATTCCGGGCCGAACTTTCCTTTCTATTCCTGGATACGATGAGAAAGTAGAATTCGGTGTACTGGTGTCGTTTGCTTACCAAGTGACCGATTCGGATGAAAAGATTATTGTTGCCACTACTCGTGTGGAAACCATGCTAGGTGATACAGCTGTAGCTGTTCATCCTGACGATGAAAGATACAAACATTTACATGGAAAATTTGTTGTTCATCCGTTCTGTAATAGGAAGATTCCAATTGTGACGGATTCATTTGTCGAGAGAGATTTCGGTACTGGCGCAGTGAAGATCACTCCAGCCCACGATCCAAATGATTATGAGGTCGGACAGAGAAACAATTTACCATTCATCACCATGTTGGACGATAATGGCATCGTCATCGGAGATTATGGAAAATTCACTGTACTAACTTTGAACATCCATATACTTTAATAACATTTTAATAACCGATTTTTTAGGGCATGAAGCGTTTCCAAGCCCGAAAGGAAATTTTAGTCGCCCTTAAAGAAAAGGGCTTATACATCGAAACTAAAAATAATCCGATGGTTGTTCCAATTTGCAGCAGAAGCAAAGATGTCGTTGAGCCAATGCTTAAACCTCAATGGTATATCAAATGCGATGAAATGGCGCAAAAGGCTGTGGATGTCGTGCAGTCTGGAGAACTAAAGATCATTCCAGAAATGCATACCAAAACATGGTATCACTGGATGGATGGCATTAGAGATTGGTGTATCTCTAGGCAGCTGTGGTGGGGTCACAGAATTCCTGCATATTATGTAACCATAGAAGGAAAGACTCAGGAAGCTGTAAGTTAATTTAGTAGACTTGGAAACTTAAATTAATAAATATATTAAAGGAATCCGATGAATATTGGATTTCCGGACGAAGTTATGAAGAAGCTCTGGACAAGGCCTCCAAGAAATTCAATGTACCCGCTAGTAAATTAACATTGAAACAGGATGAGGACGTTCTTGACACATGGTTTTCATCCGGCTTGTTTCCATTTTCACTTTTCGGGTGGCCCGAAGACACTGATGACATGCAAGTTTTCTATCCATCTTCTGTCCTGGAAACGGGTCACGACATCTTGTTTTTCTGGGTGGCGAGGATGGTATTCTTCGGACAAAAGTTGTTAGGTAAATTGCCGTTCAAAGAAGTATACTTACATCCGATTATTCGTGACGCCCATGGTAGAAAGATGAGCAAATCTTTGGGCAATGTTATTGATCCAATGGACGTAATAACTGGTATAAGTCTGGAGGATTTACACAGTACGTTGTATGAGAGCAATTTGGATCCAAAGGAAATTGATAAAGCCAAGGCTGGTCAAAAGCAAGATTATCCAGATGGGATTCCCGAATGCGGTACCGATGCATTGAGATTCGCTCTATGCGCCATGTGCTCAGGAAGGGACATCAATTTGGACATTTTGCGTGTGCAAGGTTACAGGTTCTTCTGCAATAAGATTTGGAATGCAACTAAATTTGCATTAACATATTTTGCCAAGGATTTCAAAGCTCCAGAAGGCTACGAACTCATCGGCAAAGAATCTGAAATGGATTTATGGATGCTCAGCAAGCTGGCATCGGCAATGTTCGATGCTAATGAAGGATTAAATAATTACGATTTCTCATTGGCCACTAAATCCATTTACAATATCTGGTTGTACGATCTTTGCGATGTTTATTTGGTATGTATTGTATATTTGTATCTGTATATTATTATTTGCTTAGATCTGTATAATTTTGACTTAATTTTTTATAATATTTTTTTCTTTAATATGAATAGTTCAAACGTATTTACCAATTGAATTTTTAGGAGTATTTGAAACCAGTTTTTGCTAGTAACAATTCTGATGCAATTTACACGGCCCAAGTTACTTTATATAGAGCTTTGGATATAGGTTTGAGATTGCTTTCACCGTTCATGCCTTTTATTACTGAAGAATTGTATCAAAGATTGCCAGGAGCTGCCAATAGAAGCATTCCAAGTATTTGCGTAGCACCATATCCGGAACCGGATATGTGCAAATGGAAGAATAGCCAAATTGAAGAAGAAGTAGATTTTATTCAAAGGGTATCCAAAGCTATAAGATCAGCCAGAAGTGACTACAATATTCCGAATAAAACGAAAACTGAAGGTAATTTATTTTTCCAAATATCAATATTCAATAATTATAATATCAACTTTTAGCTTACATCAAATGCTCCGACGGAAGCATCGAGACTATTGTTAAGAAATTATCGAATGCTTTGCAAACTTTGTCGTTCTGTTCGAAGAGCGACGTAAATTTGGATGCTCCAATCGGTTGTACAATCTTGACCGTTTCAAATAAATGCGAGGTGCATTTATTGCTCAAAGGCTTAATCGACCCAGAAAAGGAAATTGCTAAAATGGAAAGGAAGCTAGATATGCTGAAGGGAACAGAGGAAAAGTTGAAGCAAGCTATGGGAGTAGCAGATTATACAACTAAAGTTCCACAAGAGGTACAGGAATCGAATACCGAAAAACTATCCCAGACCATCGCCGAAATCCAACGGTTAGAGGTCGCGATGGAATCATTGAAACTGATGAATTAAAGGCACGCATATTTCTGTTTATTAGCAAATTGCATTTTTAATCAATAATAATTAATTTATGCTAAATAAATATCCTGTTTTATTACATAGTAAATTGTGCACAGAACAAAAATAAAAAATCAATAAAAATCAATACAAGTTGTTTTATCACAGCTAAAACTATAAAATATGTTTTGTTTTCAATTACGTTTGTTATCTTTCAAGTCTTTCAATTTCTTTGCGATTTTTTTCTTTCATCCTCTTTATAAATATATATACAAATTACTTACATATATATATATCTCAATCTCTAGCTTTTATTTACAATATGCCATAAAAATCTAACTGAAATTAATGAAAGAAAATAAAAATCTAGTTAATGATAAATGATTATTAAATAGAATAATAAATAATTTAAAGAGTTACGTTTTACCATCTTTTTTTGTTTTATATTTTTAATAACTACTTTTTCATTCAAACGTCGCCCACTCTCCTTGGGGGTTTGCCTTTTGTGTGGTATTTCCAAATGAGTCGAACATATTAAAATCTATTCCATATTCTTCCAGGAGGTCCTTATCTTTGCTATTGTATTTAGGCCGTTCTGTGGGAGTGCCGTTCTGCTTGATGTTGTGGTTCTCATAGTTGTACAGTGGATTGGACACGCTTAAAGGAGCGTGGCCGTCTTCGAGTGATTTACTGAGCAAATCGCTGCTATTCAAATAGGACGAGCTAGACAGCGAGCTGTTCGACTTTAGTGGATCAAACTCGTAAATATCCGAGGAGGAGTCTAAACGTATGAGATCTTGTGACTCGTCACTCTTCTAAAAGTAAAGACATTTTTACATTGCAGACATGACGCTAGAGGCGCATTATATGAAAACGATTGAAAGAAGCATGCAGGACCTTTTAAAGATAAAACAAACACCATTACCTTTTTGCTAGGTGAATTTGATGGTGGTGACAATCTAACAACATCGATAGTATGCTGATTTGCAATAAGGAAAACGGGCTGTCCATTTTCTCTGCCGCCCCCAACCACGAATGGCGCTGTGCCAAATAGATCGTGCGTTCTCGGCGGTACAGGTGGGGAAGAGAAGACGTCGTCAGGTGATTGCAATAGGTTTTGGGTATCGGGAGCTCTAGATTTGAACAGGTGTGACTGGGGAGAGGCCATGGGGGCGCCTGTTCGTGATGGGAATATCCAGCGGTCGGGGCTGGATGTCGGGGAGGAATGTTTGAAATTCTCTAAGCTGCGCACGGGCTTTAACTGCAAACGAGTGCCACATTTTGGTTACGAAAAAACAAAACAAATACGAATACACAAAGCAAAGATGAAAATCTGCATATTATTAGTAGTGAGTGCAGTAGGAAAAACAAAACGTCTATCGTCAAAGTTAAGATGGTTGTTATAGACTAGACTCACCGATCTATCCACGGGAGGGGTGTCTAATCTGAGCTGCAGAAGATCCTGCATCTCGTTCATTAAATCTATCTGTGGGATCATCAGAGGTGGCGATCCACTTCTTGATCGATCCGGCGACATCGGCTGCGAACTGAGAGGGCTATATTGCCTGAAATTAGTATTATTTACAGTCAGTATAGGGGAAAGTTTTCTTTATTACCTTTCAAAGGCCATTTTCTTAGTTATTTGGGGTTCCTTTCTGTAGCTGGCTACTGGGTTACCGAATCCCATCGATCTCCTTTTACCAGTAGGCGAGTTCGGTGCCGATCGTGGCTTGTCCAATCCTTCCAGTCCATTTCGCAGCTGCTGCGGACTCTGATTATCCTTTAGCTTCATCTTTAACTCCTTGTACGCACTCCTCATCCCTTTACCACCATCTTTTACCTAGAAACAATATGACAAATGAAAATTTTAAACACATTTCCAACTAGGCCATATCGAAAGGAAGCGAAACTTACAGTTTTAACAGCAGATTTCATGGCGGGATTAGCCTATAACAATATGAGCACTTAAATCAAACCAACACATTTAAATTGATCAAAAACTACCTTATCTTTTACACTCTTGAAGAAAGCTGAACCTTCTTTCTTCATAGATGAAGTCCACTCCTTGTACTGCTGCTTCAGTTTGGAGCTGGACTTATCAGAGTATCGGCATGCTTCTATTTCAAATTCGTCGGAGAATCCTAAGCCGTTGTTGAGCATGTCCAATCGCTCCTCAATGAACTGAAATAATAATATATTCATTATCAGATTTTAACGGTAAATATTTTATTTAAAATTAATTGTCATTCACAATTTTAAGAATATTATTAAAACGGAAAAAAAAAGTTATAATAATCAAAAATTCAATGATTCAATTAAAGAATAAATTGCATAAAAATATTTTTTTTAAGATTTATAAAATCATTTTTGGAATGTCACCGACAAAGATCGAAATGAGAGAATGAGTAACTCCTACAATGTAATTTTAAAATGCTAGCGGGTACCATTTTTAAAGCTTCAAATGGAACTTTTGGTCAAATATTCCATTATCTAAAAAAAACATAAAAAGTTTGGAAATCGCCTGCCGTTCACACATAAAATATATCACCGAACTCCCGTGTTTCTGTCATATGCCCTCCTAGTCTACATGTTCTTGCTTCTATCGACTATTAATCTCATTGTTGTCTGGTTAATTAAAAACTCATTTTCTTTAAACGAAATTAATGATTTTTTAGATAAAGACATCGATGGAAGTAAAAGGAAAATTGGATGAATTCAAATGATTTATAGAAGACAAAACAAAATGTAATTGTTTTTTTCTAAAACAAATACAATTAAGTTTACCTGTTGGAAGATTTGTAAATTTAACATCTCTCGAAGGAAGGGTTGCGAAGAGAGCGGGCGCGTTTCGATGAACCGATCAGCGCCGAAAGTAACTTTTTCACCAGGTTGGAACTGCAAGGCGTCTCGATAACCGCCTATCAGTTGAACGAGGGCTCTGAGGAAGGCCCTGGAAACGCCGTCGCCCAACAAGGAACTCTTATTTTTCAATTGCTTTTTTAGAGATGTCACCTGCAATAGACATACAAATTTGTATACGTGTATTCCATTTGCACAAAAAAACACTTACCACATCGGTCGGCAAATTATTAAGATCATCGAAGGGGGTTTCTATTTTGTTTGTGTCTGCATCGAGAATGACGACGTCACCGATCTCACAGCGATTCACTTTCTGCGAAGGAGACAACACGCAAAAGAAAATCAGTTTAAGGATAAAAAGAAAGAATGGAATGGAGAGAGCACACTTGACATCCTCTAAACTGATTTACATCAATTGAATAAAGTGCCTGCATGACATTCTAGTTCCACGCGTCTGGTATTATACCATTCGTGTATTACCTTTAATACTTCATCTGGAACTCCGATGAGAAAGGGCATAGGGGCGAGCAGATAGTCCATTAATGCCATCGGAAGCACCGGGATGAAGATGTGCTGCCAGATCATCGGATAGATCACATCGTTTGCAGATTGTACACAGGCGCTCAATCTTGTCAGTTTCTTGGAAGTGAAGATAATCCGACGCTCGTACAGCATCGACGCAAATATAATGATCATGTTGTTTGTATCGATTGCATTGTAATATTCCGTTAAATTCCTCTAAAATAAAAACATGTATACATGTATTAGTAATTCTTAAATTATGTTATTTTTCATGGTCACTTACATTTTCTGGAATACTTGGTAATTGAAATTGTTTGGGACATTCCACGTTGAATATCTATAAAGAAAAAGCATTGATTTTTTTTATATGAATATGATTTAATTTTTATTTGTTTATATGCCGTGACTATTATATTAAAATTCATTTTTAAAATACTATTCGTCGATATTAATTTTCGGCGTCCGTCTATAAAATTATGAAAATTGAAATAAATTTTAAATTGTTAATTTTCGTGCAAATTGAAAAAAAGTTAAATGCGCTTCACATATCAGTAGGTAAAATTTAAAACGAATTTTCGCTTGAAAAAATTGTAATAATTTAGAAAAATATACGAACATTCATAGAGATTATGATATAAATAGTTTTAATTACAAATTATGTATTCACGGGATGAAACCCTTAGGATCAACAATTATTTAATAACACTCGCATGTCTCCGAATAAAAAGTCAAAGAATAAAAATAAGCATAGATATGAAAAGCAAAATCATTAAAAAGCGAGACAAAGTTATACTTTTCTTTCCGGCATGAAACGTATTATCGTATTTTACATTAGTTTATATTGTTTCACTATACGAGTAAAAATTCGGAAATTCTGGAACGGATTAAACTCGTTAAGCGAGGTTCCACTGTATTAGTTTTATCTCAGTTCATCATTGCTGAATATTTGATTGATCATATTTGAATTTATTTTTGCCTGTTATCAATAAAGTTATGATCGAACCTTTTCTTGTCAAAAAATATGATGATAAAATTGATTCAAATTATTAATTTGCGTTTGTACACATGTCTCTTCGTTCGAACCAAACAATTTATTGTCGGTTTACAGTGTCAATTTCTGACATAATCAAACTTCATTAGTACATTTGTGCGTTATTTCGATCACACTGCCATAAATAATCATGTTGAAATGTAGATTATGAAACTTGATTTAAAACGCACAAAACATAGATAAAAACAAGTTTAGGCGGTAAAAAAAGGAAGGAAAAATAAAAACAAACATACGATAAAACAAAAGTTTCAATGTTCTAATCTCATCGCAGCAACAACTGGTTTGTATCTCTCTTTTATATCGCACATGAAGCCCCCAACTGTTCATTATCTTTGCACACCGACGATCCCAAATGCGGTTCAAGGATTCATCAGACTGCATACAAACATTAACCAGAAGCAAAAAAATAGAAATGGAGGAGTTTACACGGAACAATTCAATTATTTCTTATTATTCAATTACTCTCTACATGCCAATTTCTATACGCAAATCATCTTCACTTAACTTATTAACGCTGTTAATTCGCGTGAACTTTTTTTTTCTCAGATACTTTGCATATTTTCTAAACACGGTCACGAGAATCCACATGATAAATTATACGGTAATAATAAGTAGTTAGAGATGAAAATTTACTTTAAAATTTGCAAATATAGCATAAATTAATATATACTTATACCAAACTTTTCATACAAGTTAAGCTTTAAAATATAGGCATTAATATTTAGGTAATTTATTATTAAATATGATTTGAAAGTTTCACTTTTGAACGTAAAAATAATAAATAATGCATGAAAATATTTATGGGAATTATTTAATTTTTATTTATTAAAGTATTTT